CCAAAACTCCACTGAAGACCAACCGAGAAGCTTGAGCATTGAGAACTGATCAGCATAGTCCAATAGAGATAAAGCGTTAACAACAGCGACAAACCAACACTAAGACTTCAGTCAGAGCCAAATCGGAAAAGCTTCAAGCATCTTCAAACAGTGAGCTCAACCACAAAAGTGAAGAGCTCCTTCATCGAAAGGTTTAGAGAAGATCTGGCGAAGAAAGAAGTTAAAAATATGGCACCGTTGAAAACTCCGAATGGAAACCTCCTCAATGTAGAAATTTTTAATAGGGTGGGCGAATATTTCTTTGGCTGGGCTAATACTAACATTTATTTATTTATTTATTTTTTTTGAATGAGCTAAAATTATCTATAGTAAAAAATAAAAAAATTGGTGTGGGCTCAAGCCCACCCATACATCCTTGGAACGCAACATCTCTGTTTGCGCTTGGCACAATAGCTTGATATTTTTCTTGTGTAATGTTTAACTGTTGAGCCTGTATATATATATATATATTTATTATAAGAGTACATTAGTCAATTTATTATTTAATTTGTTCAAAAGTCCTTATTTGCACAAACTAAAAAATGTAGAGGGTTTATTGAATAATAGGGTGATAATTGCACATTTTGTACATAACGAGATTTTTTTTGCACTTAACCCTATTTAAAATTACATATTTTGTGAAGAAAATAGGCACAGAACAAAATGACGTTATTTAGCACATGATGGGCGTTGATACACACTCTAAATATACTATAGGAGTGTTTTTATGTATTTAAACTTAAAAACTATTGTTCTAAATATACTATAGGAGTGTTTTTATGTATTTAAACCTAAAAACTATTGTTGTTTTGAATTCTAACACCCATTTTTTCCTATGTAAATAATTATTACATTCAGCTTAGATTGATTGTCCAAATAATTATGGAAAATAAGATTTAGTAGATTTCACTTATTTCTTTTTTTAAATTCTTAATATTATTACATTCAAGATATGGAATCCATGCTTTAAAATTGAACAAAAAATATTGCAAATTTTGAACAAAAAATTGAACAATAGCATTAAAAATGAATGACATTAAGTCATAATTGTCGTGGGATACAAAAATCTTTTTTATTCGTTCTCTTCACAACAATATACACAAATGTGATTTTCAATTGAAAATGAGCCTTTTCGGATTAAATCAAGTTACTCTGTGACTGTTTAAAAATTGTTAATCCAACAGTTCAACTTGTCCATATAATCCAATGTCATCCTTAAAATTCACCATACCAAAGTAGAAAATCACAAAGCAACAATTATAATTAACGGAAATTTTTAATTAGTACTCCACAATGTGACTGCAATCTGTAATTAGATGTTGAAATGGACAGGATGTAACTTAAACAGAAATAGAATAATCATGCCCTTGTCCCAAATAATAAACAATTAAGCAATAAACTAAATCACCGAAAACAAACTAACAAATGTTTATACCAACAAAGCAACCAGTATAATACCCGTAATTTATGTATAATTATATTTTTATGTATCTGTATCGTTATTAAATTAATGAATACTTGAGATAAGGGATTGTCTTTTAAATTTGGAGGAATCCTAAATTATCTCAACTACTATTTATCACTCTATTTATATTTTTACACGTTATATCAGTAGTAAGAGGAAACATACGATATTCTATAATAATAATAAAAAAAAAAGGAGAGCAAGAGAGATAGAGAGATCTGACGTTGTGTCTATTGTCGGAAAAAGGAACGGTGGTTGGGCGTTTGCGTAAAAAGGAAGGATTAGCATTTTCCAGGCAAATTAATCTTGCTTTATATTTTTATATATGTTTACAACTTGATTTATAAAAATGTTAGAGAATTAATCTAGAATGTTCTAGCGTATTTTAGTCGATTGTTTGATATAAATCTATGATTATTGAATATATGAACCTGATTAGTAGATTAATATGTGGTTGCTACTCACTTTTTGGTATTTAAATAAAGTATAATATGGAGTTGTAGATGTAACTCTGTTGGATCTAATTATATATACATATGGGTTCTAGTATATATTTTACCACATGCACTCTATTGGGTACTTGCATATTTTCATCATGGAAATTGATTTATAAATTCTACCTCTCTGTAACAGGTGCTATCTATATTTATCTATAGATTGAATTAAATATATATACTGGCATCAACTCAATTAACTGTGTAGTGTACCGTCTAGATGCTAATGATAATATATATATATATATATATATATATATCTTTTCTAGATAATGTTGAGAATGAATTTTGTGACCTGATTGTAGGCCTGGGATTGAGTTAGATGACATGGAACTGTATTGACTTCCGTAATTTTGGTTTGTTACCAAGTTCTGGGCATGAAAATCAAATTGGCATGTTAGTGGATTTGTGTAAGCCAAATTGCAGGACAAGTGAATGGGAGAGAGTGTGGCCTACCCCATATGAATTTTGAATTGGATTCAGACTAGATGTGTTTACTTTCTAAATCTGTTATTTTTAGGGTTCACTCTTGTGTTCGAAATTAAATGTTATTTTTAGTTGATTTTTTAAGTATTTTGCATTAAATAAATTAGGAAAAATAGTAATTATATTTCAAAAATTATAGAATATTCCAGTTTACTCTTTTTCATCATATTGAACACAACTGTGATGCAATTCTGATTTTTAGATGATGTCTAGATAGTATAACTGAAATAAAACTTGAAAAAAGTATTATTTTCAGCACTAAAATGGAGAGTACAGAAAAACTTTTAAGAGATAGATTCTGAATTTTTGCAGGGTCATATATCTAATGTTAGGGTATGTCCAGAAATTTTATACTCTCACTAGTTGGGTCTTTAGGGTTCCTTTCTTTTAAAATTAAAAGTGTATTTGAGTGTATTAATAATTAACTGATGAGTTTGGATTAGTCGAAGGGATAGTCAGGGATTGACCCTATGATGACTTTTGGGTATAGTCAGGGACCTGCCTATTTGGGAGTGCACTACCCTTTTATTATGGCCCTGGGTCTAATGAGCCCTTATTATGTGGACGTGGTCAAGGGCTATCTGGGTGAGTAGACGTACCATCCAGCCACATGTGTGTATTTGGTAGTCAGGTACTACGCAATTCACACCATTTATTTGGAGTGGAGCCAGGGGCTCATGTGATATGTGAATTTAATAACAGTAAATAATGGTTAATTAATTAGTTTATAATTAACTGGAGTTAAGTAATTTATTTTATTAATGCACTTATTGAGTTGCTCATATATATGGAAATATAAGGTAAGGTTAATTTGCTGAACGATAATTGTGTTTAGCATTTATTGCTGAGTTTGTGAGCTCACCTCATTATCACATTTCAGATACACGTTGAGTAGGAACGTGATGAGATCACATGATGACGATGGATTTTAGCTAGCTTTTCGTATTCTTTGGTTTAGTTCAATTTTTTTCATTGTTGGGATCATTGTAATAAGAATGACGATATATATATATATATTTTTTTAGATTTAGTTTAGTTTGTCCAGTTATCATGGATTATTTTCGACTAGGTCGATTACTATTATGGTTGTACCAATTTTATAAATTAGAGGGAGATTTACATCTACTACTTTATTTGATTATTTATTTATTTATTTTTTTCTATAAAGTTGGAGTTATATAAAGAAAGTCATACCAAATCTTAATACGAGATAAGAGTTAGTGTATTTAAGATTTTGGGGCGTGACAATACTTCTCTCAAATTTATGTCTAAAGCTTGAAAAATCAATCAATAGGAGAAAATCTGCATCAAAAACTGGGAAACGAGATGTAAGTCTCAGCGTCCACTAACCCGATTATTTCAGAGTTCTACCATGACATCATCATGATAACACTACGATGACATCATCACAATGACGTCATAGTCCATGCCCCACCACCGACTGTTTTTTTGTTACTCATAAATAAAATAATAAATTACACTAACTTCTTTTAAAGTTTGGACAAATTACACAGGTACAGAGTATTTAACTTTTTTAATTTTTGACCTCCCTAAAAGACTCAATTCTCCCTTTTTTTTTATTTCTCTTCTTATAAATACTAGATTATCCTACCTATTTATTATTTCTTATTTTAAAAAAACTAATCAAACGCTAAAAGGAAATCTAATAAAATGACATGAAAAATATATATATTTTGAAAAATTTAATAATATGAAATTGATATGATTTTTTTTTTTCTTTTCGTAATTTGTACTCACTTGCACACACATTTATCTATTGAGGCTTGAATCCCCTAACATCGCTGGCCACTGGCCCATTGATAAATTGGTATGAAAATTGATATTGTATTTAATGGCATTTCATGAAAATTTTATCATTTGATGTCAAAATATAAAGTTATTGAAATTTTTTAAAACAAGGGAAAAGATAATTTAATCATTTTTTGAATTTTTATTGTGTCTATGGGCATACAACTCAAGCAGCTGCAGCCACGTTATGTCTATGGGACCTATACGTGAGACCCATTTTCGATATACAAAAAGAAACAGTCTCCGCCAGAACTCATTGCTACGTAATCCCTCCTGCTTCCTTCTCGGGAGTCGGGACACTTTACTTTCACCTTAAGCAGGTCCCTTCAGCCAACTCATCATCTTGCCCATTTTGCCTCCTCACGTCTCAGAATCTCCTAAAAATATAAAATTTATTTTTTTGGAATGTAAAACAATTATATATATATATATATATATATTTCATTTTATTATTATTATTATTATTATTATGATCATCGTCGTTATGGAGATTTGACTATAAAATAGGAATGCTAAGTTCTGGATGTTACTGTTTGACTTGGTCCTTTTAGTGTGACCAGCACGATCAGAACTGACTTGTGGGAATAATTCATTTGTCATTGTTGATATGTATTCCATTGCATAGCATTGTACAATCAATAAACATAATGCTTTTGAAAAATTGAATATATTTTGTGGTAATCTTACTGTCATGAATTTTATGTAGGATGGAGGAGCTGATCCCAATCTTGCTGCAGTATGTCAGAAGCCGCCAGAAAACTAGTGGATTTGTAGTGTTGATTGCTCACAACGCTCGTACTTTTGATGTTCCCTTTTTGAATAATGAATTCTCTCGCCACTCATTTGAGGTTCCTTCAGATTGGCTGTTTCTGGACACACTTCCTCTGGCACGTGAAGCAATGAAGTTGGGAGGTCTGTCTGTCTGTCTGTCTGTCTCTCTCTCTCTCTCCCCTTGTGTATCTCAGGAGTTTGACTTGGTTGTTTTTGTCAACAGGATCGAAGGTTCCTGCAAAAACATCTTTGCAAGCCCTCCGTGAGTGTTATGAAATCCCATTAGTTGGTCCAGCTCACCGAGCCATGTCAGATGTGGACGCATTAGCATTGATTCTGCAAAGGCTGACTTTTGACCTGAAACTGCCAATCTCTGGCCTTGTTGAAAAAACCTTTAGAGCCTCAGACTCCAGTAACCCAAAGAAGAAGAAGTTGTTTTGAAAGATCTTTTAGAGCCTCAGACTCGATTAACCTAAAGAAGAAGAAGAAGAAGAAGAAGAATTATTGTGTAGTTTTGTTGTCACTTGTACATCTGGTTATAGGGATGTGTGTGCCCTAGTAGAAGAGGTACTCGTGACCACCTTGTGTTCGCTTGCATGAGACCTATTATCCGGTTGAGGCTGTCTTATGATCCAGTGAAAGTCTATAGTGTGTATACTTATGTATATTGACCTACGTATTTATTGCATGAGTTGGACTAGGATGTATCGTTTCTCGGGTCTCTGTTTGGGATATAATAGAAAGGGCTTGTTCGTGAGTTTTGACCCACCTTTGTTGTTATCTTTTCAGGTCCTCAATAGTTCCAGACATAAAGTCAGTTCGTGCAGAGCAGAGGTCAGACTTTATCACTCTTTCGGTGTCATAGACGTAGGACCTCCACTATGTTTTCGCTATCATTTATTATTTCTGAGTTAGACATTTATTTATTTCGTCTTTAGTGGGGATTTTTATTAGGGGTCCACATGGTATGGATTCCCAAGTTGTACTCTAGAGATTTATTATTATTATAATCAGAGGTTTTGTTATTTAATTATTAATTTAGTTTTCCCTCTCAGCGTTGTTTATTTATTTTATATTTTTTTTTTCTTATATTTTGTGCTTGCTTATTATTGATTGGCTGATATCCCTTGACTTTGAGCGCGGACCTGATCAACCCGTATTTCGAAATTAGGAGTATCACATCATTCAATTTGTTCAGCTGACCTGACTTGAATATAAGTAGGACTTAATATTTTAGTTAATCTATTCTCTTATATAAAATAGGTAGGACTTAATTGATAAGTTAATCCGTCCCTAGAATGCCACCATCCCATACCGGTGCATTAAACCACATAATCCAATAATTGATGTAACGATTAAGGAAATACATCAAACAATCCAAAAATAACTATGATAATATGATATCAAGTTATTACAAAATAGGAATGACTTATTATTTATTTAAGGTTTTTATATCATATGTCCTACATAAACTGAATCTTATACATATGATGATATTTTATTATACCGACACATAAGCATTCTTCATATCCAATTCATCCTACACATTTAATCTCAATTGCTAAAACATATTAAAAGATTAAATCCATTCGTTTGTTTAAAATATTCAAATAGCAAGCATCATTATGATTGAGTCCATTTAAATTTTTTTAAACCCAAACCTAGTTCCTATTCAATGTTCAGGAATCCTAGGCATGTTTCTACGTTCCATCATTCCACAGATATGAAAAATACATAATTTAAACATGTAAAAATTCACACCGGAAATCAAATCAAAATCATGCATTTATCAATTCATAACACAAGAACAGATATGAACCAAATTCATAAAACATATGTTCTAATCCAATTAAACATGCATAATTATTTAATTTTATGTGTTTAATAAATTCTGAAATTTCCTAGGCATGTACAGAAACACGAATCAAAGGGAAAGAGATAGAAGAAGAACTTGCCTTAAACTTTCGGATCGAAAGTTAAACTTCTTCTTCCTTGATCTTCTCTCTACAGGGTTTTTTTCCTTCTTCCTTCTTTCTATAATATATCACGTAAATATTTCTAACCCCCTTTTACAACCTATAACTATATATTTATATGTTAAATAAAATAACCCTAACCTTTTTCCAAATCCAAGTCAACTTAAAAAAAATAAATATTAAAATATTAAAAAGGTAAGTAAAATATATTACGTATATAATTTATGTATATCTTTATTAAATAAATAAATTATACAAATCCTATTATTTATTAATGGATTATCCAATAATACTTAAGTTACCATAATATTATAAAGTAACTTAAAACATAACACGTATCAAATCTATGTATATTTTTATTATTTAAATATAAAACATATACATCAGATTGAATATTACTATTCAAGTTACCATAAAAGTAATTAATAAATTAGTTTCCCTTATATATATATTAAAAAGGTAAGTAAAATATGTTATGTATATAATTTATGTATATCTCTATTAAATAAATAAATTATACACATTCCATTATTTATTAATGGATTATCTAATAATACTTAAGTTACCATAATATTATAAAGTAACTTAAAACATAACACGTATCAAATCTATGTATATTTTTATTATTTAAATATAAAACATATACATCAGATTAAATATTACTACCCAAGTTACCATAAAAGTAATTAATAAATTACTTTCCCTTTTATATATGTATATAATATATATCTATATATATACATGCACAACTATCTTGGGTAATAATTTATACACATCCAACCTCCTATTCAAGTAATCCGTGTGACATAATTGGTTGGCCTATGACTATTAACCATAACCATAAAAGAAAAATAAAATAAAATAATAAAAGAAAAGAAAACATTTAATTTACAATTAATCAAAACACCATTTAAGCACATAATCTAATTAAACAATTAACACTTAGACAAATACAAATAATACATAGACACATAATCAAATAATCAAGTAATGTCTAATTCAATTAAACACATAAACAATTAATCTAATAATCAATTAAATAATTAAAAATACAATTAAAATTAAATAATTAAAAATACAGTTAAAACAAATAAATAAATACCGAGACTATCATTTTAAAATTAGGGGTATTACATATACACTCTAACCAACTCAACAAGAACTATATAATCCGTGTCTATATATATATATATATCCACACTATGAACTCTCACTGGACTATGATACGGGTCTTAACCTGAGTAGAAGGTAACATGCAAAACGCACCTGAGTGGGCATGACTACCTAAGCCTAACAGGGTACACTTCAACCAGTATAGCTAGCTACGTGTCCTACTACATATACGCTCCCTAACCGTCAACTCTGAGACTCAAGCTCATGTCACGGTACTATAATAATATATTTAAAATCCGTTCACATTCATCCATAAGAAATCCAGTAAGTCGTTCAGCTTATTCAACCGCACAGACTTAAGTCGTTTAGCTTATTCAACCGCACAAACTTATACATAAGGAGGATTCTATTTTTATAAATCCGTATCCTTATTCCAAAGTAGGTAGGACTTAGCAATTTGAGCTAACCTAAACCTAGTATGTCACCGTCCCATACCGGTACATACAATCCAATCCATCCAATAGTTGATAAAATACATAATCAATGCACATAGCAACTGAACCATAATAAGCATAAATAGAAATATAGACTAACATGCTTACTCCAGTTTCTGATAGATCAAAATAATAAGACATATCAATTAATTCCATGATGAACATAAATTAAATAGATAAGCATCATGTTCATCCCATATCTCCGTTACAAATTATCTTACTTGAGCATGCAGATAATTTACTCTTCTCGTCCATAAAACCATAACAAGTCTAATAAAAACCATATTAATTATCATACTTGTCCACTGTTAATAATATCATATTAATAAAATTTCCACTCACAGAGAATCAACAAATTAAGGTTCAGTAATTTAAAATTCCTCTGCACTGAAATAAAACAATTTCCATCGAGACTTACCAATGTTCAAGCTATAAACACATACTGATTTATTAAGCATTAATCCACTCTCACAAGTGTTAACTAGACTTAGAATATCTCAAAACACCCAAGTATAGCTTCCTATAGAATCTGAAAATCCCAAAATCCGAGTTCCGTAGCCAAACAAATTGCAGAAAACGTAAAACTAGAAGCTTTTTCAAAGAAAGAACCTGCTCTCTCTTCAAAGAAAGAGCCTGTTCTCCTAGTCTTGGAGGCGGCTCCAAGACCCCTTAGAGCCGGCTCCATGTTCCCATGGAGCCTGCTCTTTCCTCCAAAGAGCCGGCTCTTTGAAATCTTGAGTCGTCTCTTCTCTGTTCTTCATCCCTTTTGCGTCCGGCGATTTTCCGACGAACTGTTCTTCATCCCTAGGGTTCCTAAGTGTCTTAATTAGATTCCAGTATGATCAAAAGCCATTTAAATTCCTTATTCAACCAACGATACTAATTAATCATGAATTATACCACATAGAATTTAAACTGGAATGTTTTTCCCATCCATGAACACACTGTTCAGATGAACACCCATACGAACCCTATTCAGTTTAATGTTGTCCCAAGGTGTTCCAAAACTGATTAAACCCCTTTATTCATTAATTAACATGAATGCAATTATATGGTATACAGGAAAACATCTAAACAACAGTATATGATTTCCAAATATCGACAGTTTTAACACAACAGAGGCATGGAAAATTTCAGTTTAAATTTAAATCCTTATATTCCCTGGAGTTGTATTAGATGTGCGAAAAACACGAGGCAAAGGGAAGGAGTTAGGATTAGAACTTGCCTTACACTGACGTTTTCCTCAATTCCTCGGCGAGATCTCTGTTTGCTTTCTTTGGTTTATCTCTGCCTCCACTGTCGTGGATAGGGTTTTTTTAAAAACCCTAGGCAAAACTCAATACTTACATTTATAGGTTTTTACAAGAAACCAAATTTTACTTCAAGCCCTAATTTGAATCCTAGCCGGCCCATAGACCAACCAAATTTACGTCGGCTTATAACTTAAACCTAAACAGAATTAAAACCCTAACGATATTTTCATACTTAATAATTAATTAAACCATTTAATAATTACTTCAATTAAAGAAAACAATAAATTCTAATTTAACGTAATACAGAAAAATAAAAACAATTTTATAATTAATACAGAAAATCACCATTAAATAACAAGTCATCAATTATTGCAAATAAACACGCCAATCAACAATTTAAACAATTTAAAATTCAATTAAAATAATAAATTAAATACCAAAACTATTCTTTTGAAATTAGGGGTATTACACAACACGAGATGGGTCTAAAATCATTCAAGGTAGTGGGATTGGGGACCTTTGGAACCACGGAAATGTAAGTAGAGTTGATCTCTCTCAGCAACTGCCCATTGGTGAAAAATTCTCTTACAGCTTTGGAGATGTCATTATCCCAACATTCTAAGCCCTCTTGAAAAAGTAAGTATTGTAGCCATCAGGACCTGGAGCTTAGAGTTCTTTAGAGAGAAGAAACACTGTTTGATGTCCTCCATAGATGGGATGCTAATGAGATTAGCAATAAAGGACTCAGGGATGGACTTGCTATAGTTTTCATGAGTGGACTGGAACCAAAGTAGGGACCAGTATTATTTCCAAGAATAGCTTGGAAGAACCTCAATGCTTCATCCTTGATGACTAGGATAGAGTCAGTGATCTCCCTACTTGCTAAAGTGAGCCTACTAATTTTCTTCCTGTTGCACTTGTTATTGAAAGTTTTCAAAAAGAATAATGTATTTTGGTCCCCATCCTTCAGCCAGTTAACCCTAGCTTTCTGTTAAAAAAGTTGTTCCTTAGCTTTAGAAAGTTCAATATACTTCTACAGAAGAATCCTTTCAGTGCATCTAACCCCTTCATTAGATGGATCATCATCCAGTCTAACTTGGCATTTTTGAAGCTCATCCTTAGCAGCCAACACTCTATTGGATAAATCACTAAACTCCTTGTTATTGAGTTGTTTCAACTTGCACTTGAGCATTTTCAGCTTCATGACCACCTGGAACATGGTAGAGCCATCAATCTATTGGGACCAAATAGTAGCAACAATCTCATTGAAATCTCTATGGTAAGCCATAAAATTGAAAAACTTAAAAAGGGAACTTCTTTTTAGGGTCCCGCTCCCTACATTTAATCACCATAGGTGAGTGATCAGACACTCCATACGGAAGGAACTCACAGCAGGAAAGAGGAAATGAGGATGACCACATATCATTACATAAAACCCCCTGTCAAGTTTCCTGGTTATGTTAGCTACTCCAGGACTTTTATTGGTCCAAGTAAACCTAATGACAGAGTACCTAAGATCAGAGAGCTCAGCACTATGGATGCACTCATTGAATTCAATGATACCACTATTCCATCTACCAGAGCCACCAAAAGTCTCCCTAAAGTGCCTCATGATATTAAAGTCACCCATAATTGACCAAGGAGATTGACACATAAGAGAAGCCAATACAACCATGTCAGACCACAATCTTCTCCTTTGCAAGGCAGTATTGTAAGCATATACCACTGAGATATAAAAATGTTTCTGATCATCAATAGAAGTCACACTACAATGAATGTGTTGTGCCCCATCAGACATTCTATGGACAGTCAGAACCTTGGGATTATACAAGATCCATATCCTACCCAAAGGAGAGTGGGGGTAATTGTGAAAAAGTTTCCATGAAGGAGCAATCTTCATATGGACGGCAGTGACATTAGCCTCTTGAATTTTTGTTTCAAGGATGGCTAAAAGATGTAATGAATGCTCATTAATGAGCTTCCTTATTTCGGTTTGTTTTTCAGGGGAATTGAGACCCCTAACGTTCCATGCTGCAAAGCTCATAAAGAAGGTGAGCATTCAGTGACCTGGTTGGGGTCAGGTTCACCCCTCTTCTTCTTTTTCTTCTTCTTCTTGATGGTGCCCTCGATGCAGATAGAATCCTCATTTGGGGTAGAACTAGAACAGCCAGAGCATGAAGTGTCATCACTGATAGGTGCGGGTCTTTGAGTGGTACCCCTTCCTACAACAATACAATCAGGATGTTGGGGAGCAGTTGCAGTAGTACTAGGCATCTCCTTAATAACAATAGGGTCCTTATTTGTGGCCTCATCAGTGTGTAAATCCCCACATTTGCCTATAACAGACTCATCCAGCTTGTTTTTCATGGCCTTGGTTGTGACTGTATCCTTCCGTTGTTCTGTGTTAGATATCCCATTAAGGCAGTTCCCCTTCACTGGAATGTGGTTCAAAACTACATCTAGGGCCTCCCTAAGCAATCCTTTTTCCTTGTTCACCGCAACCTATTCCTTATTATGATTGGTGACAGGGAGGGGAACAGCAGAGGGAGGCTGTTTTGTATATGGACAGGTCCTCTCTTGGTGACCAAAACAAAAGCAAGAAGAGCAAACAAGAGGTTTCCATTGGAAATCAGCCTCAATGCCAATGATCTCACCAGTAGGAAGCTCGATGTTGAAAGATTCTACCAAAGGCTTGGAAGCATCAACTTCGACACAGATTCAGGCATAACTAATTCTTTTTTTTGTTTCAGTGCGTTCATCAACGAATAAAGGTCAGCTAACCGCACTAACAGCATAGCTGAATCCCCTAGGGGTCCAATACTCAAAGGGAATGTTATAAAATCGGATCCAGAGATGAATGAATCTACAAGACTCTTTAGTAAGCTATAATCCCTTGTGCCATTTCTTCAGAATAAGAGGTCTACCAACAACCATACAAGGACCATTCTTAAGAACTTTGTCACAATCAATCTTAGTGCCAAACTTGAAGATGAAGAAACCTTTGTCATCAGCAAGAACATCAAGTAACCCAAAATAGCTCCACATCTTCATGGTAACAGTTTTGACAAGGGAGTAAGGCAGCTTATTTTGGATGAAATATCCCACAATGGAAGACCTCCATTCATCTTCACCATCACCGGTAATCTCCTTCGGCATGGTAACTAGGGGAGGGGAGTTGGTAGAAGGGGGTGGTGGAATGAATTCAAAATTCATCTTAGGGGCCACCTTATATCCGCCAGCTACAACGTTAGCCCAGCTCTTAGTAGGTAGAGGAGGTCTAGAGCTTGAAGAGGCATGAGCAATTATTGGGGAAACGTATCCAGAACCACAGTTGCTACTCTTGTGTAAGGTGACAGCTTGGTCAATAACCACATCAGCTGAAAACGTGGGACATGACTTGTCTTTGGTAATGGTAGGCACTCTCACAGGTGGCGCGTGAAGAGCTTATCCTCTAGAGTGGCCTTTAACATCCTTGACCTCCTTCCCTGTCCCTCTTTGGGAGCCTCTAGTCTCCACCATTTGCCTAGACGGGCTTGTCCAATGTGGCTTTGGATGGTCTGTCACCACTAGGGAGTTGACGTTCCTTCAACAGAGCTAGCTAAAGGTTAGCAATCATCTCTCATGCTTGTGCCAGTTCAACATTTGCATTCGCAAGCAATTTAGCTAGAGTATCATTGACAACCTTCTTAGCTAGAGCAGCGGCTGCTATCATAGGAAGCCTCAAGATCAGCCACATTAGTGGGTGTGATTTGGATATTTTCAAGACTGAGGTGAGACGCCAGCAAGGTATTGGATAGGTTTGGTGGTGTAGTGGTTTGTGGGAGGAGAATGTTTGGGCCAGAAAGTGGTGATGAGGGGTAGGCTGGTGGTTTCATTGATTTGGTCTTACCCATAGTTAAATCTAGTGGGCAAGGTTAGGGTGGTGGCGGTGGGTGGTGGGAGGAGATGGTGAGAGAAGGGAGAGCATTTTTTTATTATTGACTTTTAATAAAATTCATTCTTCCCAACCCGCTCATTTGCCACCCCTACAATTCACATAATATTTTTTTTTGAAAGAATAAGGTAGGTAAGCAAAGCAAAGAAGAATGAAGGTATATATATATATATATATATATATATATATATATATATATATATATATAGTACTGATCTCTTGCTCCCCATGAAGTAAGAAAATTCTTCCACACTTTTTATAGTGACCATTAGATTTAATCTAATGGTCACACATTCTAAACTTACCTATAGCTTTCCTTTTAATACAAAACCACTATTACTCTTTCTGTTTTCTAAATTTAATATTTACCAGTACAATTAATTATAACAATAAAAGGTAAATACTAAAAAAATAAAAATAGAAATCTCTTCAGCTCTCGAAATCACGTCTCACCATTAATTGGAATTTTTTTTTCTATAATTTTTTTTTTTACAAGTGTTGCAAAATTGTATCCATGACTTAGTACTAAAGTTGACATTTTCTGTTTGAATGTAAAAAATACATTAAAAATTACACTATTGACATACAAAACAACGAAACATCAACTAAAAAATAATAAAAAATTATACAATTTAAATTATTGAATACCTCCCTAAATGCATGCTATTTAAAAATTAGAAATTCAATCTATTTTTCTCTAACTCTTTGTCACAAATTCTAACTAGTTATGAACACATCCCAATTACTCATCTGTCATAATAAATCGCACAATATATATTTTTTCTAGTTTTACTATAATAACAAAAATTTATTGACGTAATGAGGAGATTCACAACAAAACATGTTATTATTCTATGAAATTTTAGATTTTCTTTGTAAATTAGTTCTTTTTCTTAATATTTTCTTTAATACTGTTATTATTATACTATCATTATTTTAATTTTTTTTAGTACTTACCTTTTATTGTTATAATTAATTGTATTGGCAAATATTAAATTTGGAAATTAGAAATAATGATAGTGGTTTTGTATTAAATCATTAGATTTAATCTAATGGTCACTGTAGAAAGTGCGGAAGAATTTTCTTGTTCTATGGGGAGCAATAGATCACTACTCTATAAATATATATATATGTGTGTGTGTGTGTATACGTACAAGTAGGGTAGAAAATAAAGAAGAAATATAAAAAGATAATTTGGTCTTAAAAGTTGAAGTTTTATAGTTTCAAAAAAAAAAGGGAGGAAAGAATCATTAATTACAACTTCTATAATTGAGTTTTTCAACCAATCAGATGTGCAACTGTGAATGCGCAGTTGATTGCGCGACTGTGTTTAACATTCCTCTTTGTTAGAAACACTACTTCAATGTTATTTTTAATATATTTTTTAGACACTATTTTTTTTAGGTGGAAATAGAATGGTCATTTTTTTTGTTTAATGGTGAAATGATGAATGACTATTCTCCAAGAATGGTGAATGGTGGGGAATGATGATTTCAATTTTGAAATTAGGCACCAAACACAAGAATTAAGTTGTGTAGTTTTTCAGGTTGGTTACACGAAACATAGTAATATGTATTAATTTATTACCCTGAATAATTTTCAGGGCATAGTAGTGTTGGCAGAAATTCGGATTGATACGTGTGTTGTGGAGCCGATACACGTACATACTCTAAGAAAGAAAAAAAATAAATAATCAATGATTGTTTATTTATGCGCAATACAAATGGAGGTTTCTACTCCCTTATTTTAGGGATAACTTGGGTTGGGTAACCCGAACCCAACCTGATTTTTTACGGGTTTGGACAATCATTTTAATAATTAAGGTTGGGTTTGGGTTGAAAAATCTCAATCCGAATTTAATTAGGGTTGGGTTTGGGTTGAAAAATCTCAATCCGAATTTAATTAGGGTTGGAGTACTAGCAACCCAAGCCAATCCGAACTCGAATTCTAATATTATTTTCCTAAATATTTTTACTTTTAAATACATTATATATAATTTTTAAATTATGATTACTTTTTTTATTTTCAATTTCTTTAGTTAAATCTTAACTTTTTGTATGTTAAAATTTAAGAAAATTAATTTTCTAAAAGTTTGTTTGTAATTTATTAAAAATCTACAAAAAGTCTTTAGACTTTTTAGAGGGGTGCTAATCACAGTCGCCCCCCGTGACTGTGGAATCTCACTCGTCAGTTGACCCGTGTATTTCCTTTCCTCATAATTAATTACTATTTTTTTGGTAACTTCCTTTTGGGTCTCTCATTATATATAACTACTATACTAGCCTCCTACCGTTAGAAAAACCATTCGCATAAATTCTCTTCAAAAACCTTCATGGTTCCATCTCACTTTAAAATTTTATTTTTTTACAAAATTCCATATCTAAATGTTTGAAGTTCCAACTCAAAAATTTTCTTTATACAAAAGTCCATATCTAAATATTTGAAGTTCAGATATGAATTTTTTCAGATCCATATTATTTGTATTCGAAGTATTGCTCTGATTTTTCAGATTAAAAAAATAAAACAATCAGTGAAAAAAGTACTATAATTTGGTTCTCTCTCTAAAATTATATGATTTTTTCAGATCCATGTTCTATATTTCGAAGTATTCTGTTGTTTTTCAAATAAAAAAATAAAATCAGATGAAAAAAAAGTATAATCTAAAAAAAATTTATAGTACTTTTTATTTTATTTTATTTACTTTTTTAATCTGAAAAATCAGAACAATACTTCGAATACAAAGAATACGGATAATGAAAAATTCAGATTTGAACTTCAAACATTTAGATAAGGACTTTTGTAAAAAAGAAAATTTTAGTGTTGGAACTTCAAACATTTAGATATGGAATTTTGTAACAAATAAAATTTTAAAGTGAGAAGGAACCGTGAAAATTTCTGAAGAGAGAATTTATGCTAATGGTTTATCAGTTAGGAGGCTAGTATAGTAATTATATATAATGAGAGACCCAAAAGGAAATTGGCAAAAAAATAGTAATTAATTATCGGGAAAGAAAATACACGCGTTAACCGCTAAATTAGCGACTGACATTCTACAGTTGCTGGGGCGATTGTGATTAGCACCCCTCAACTTTTTATTGTTTAGCATTTCATATGATAGATTGGACTCAAATTATGCCTAGCTCAAACCCGCCTAACCCGCCTGAATTACTACATAAATGATCTATTAAAAAAGGTAAGTCTATAGTTCAATGTAACAAATCCGTGTAAATATTATTTTCCAAAAATAAAACGTACAACTACCATTTAACATAGGGAACATTGAAGTAATAAATTAAAACATCCAATATATATAAACAAATTAACATAACAACAACATCCACGCTATAAAACGTTCTGAAGCCATTATTATACCACCATAAACTCCAAAACTTACAACATAAAAATTAACATTTCCCCCATTTCCTTCTCAAAAAAAATCACTTTCTTCTCTAAAAAAAAAAAAGGTAAAACAGAAATACAATTAAAAATTATAAAAACCCTCAACGAATTTACCACAGTAGATATTTCAATCCTGAATGTAATTTATGTAAAGATCACTCCATTTTTTTAAAAGGCTCTTCATATGAGAGATAAATAAAAATAAAATTAATTTATGTTATACTACATAGGAAACTATATTAAATTATACATAACATCGCCAATATATTAAATTATATATAAATAATTTGTTATACTACATAGGAAACTTGTCTAGTCTTTATCATAAACAGATACATAGAGTTGATAGATATAGTTGTCTCTGTGTCAGTGATTGCGCGAGGCTAAACGTGTTTAGGAAAATTATTTATATATACTTCGCGGTTGGCTACTAGCCTACTAGTGAATGAAAGATACATATATATATCACAAATGTTGGATTTGGCTTTTAAGTCAGGCAGGACTCTTTTCGAAATAACAATAATGTTAGGCATTCTGTCTCAAAAATCTAAGCCCAATTCTTATTTGTTTCTTTTTACTTATCAAAAATAAAAATAAATCTTAGTCTAATTAGGGTTCACTTTTGAAATCCTATTTGTTAGGGAAATTTTTATTTAAAATTGGGTTGGATAATAAAGTTGCACTTTCTGTTTTGTTTGTTTGTTTTTTTTTTTTTTTTTTTTTTTTTTAAAAAAAGTCGATGTTATGCTTGAACACTTTGAGAGCACTCAATAGGTACTTTGGATTTAGGATTAGAAGAAATTTATTACAAACTTTGAGTTAAATTTTCTTTAATCCCAAATTCAAACAGCTGTGCTTGTAACAATTATATATATATATATATATATATATATTTGAAATCAAAGAATTATTTTATAACTTTAATATATATGTATGTATATATTATACATACATATATATTAAAGTTATAAAATAATTCTTTGATTTCAAAAAGTAAGTGGGCCCCACCAATATATTAAAAACATAACAAAAGGCCATAAAGCCATTACGCAGACCCATTGGCTTCTCTCTCTCTACTGCATCATTTTTACCCTATGAAGTTTCCCTTTTTTTTTTTTTTTTGGCAATTTCAAGGCTTGATCTAGCTTCACTCCTTTGGAATTTGGTAGAACTTTGTGAAGCAAAGTTTGAGACTTTGTCACGGCCGTCGATTTGATAGGAGCCAATCACCATTTGGCTAAGCCTAGGGATTCCGAAATTAAGGATTGGATTTGGCGATTTTGGGGGGTTTTTACATCCATTGAGGTAGGTGTGCTCTAATCCACTATTTCTTGGATTTCTTATGAATTTTCACTTTTAATTTAACTTGAAGCATGCTTAATTTTAATTTTTGTGATTATGTTTGTTAGGGTTATTTATATTGATGGTGATAAATGTGTGTTATGTGTTAATTGGGCTTATTAGTATGATGATTTTTAACTTGTAAAGAATCATGCTTAGTGTTGGTTTGTTTTCATAATTTCAATTGATATGAAAATTTATGTTATAATTATGGAAATAAATTTGTGAATTGTATTTTTAAATTGCTATCAAAATGTGGGATGAAAATATGAGTTGTGTCTTTTTAGTAATTTATTTGAAAAAGTATGTGGGAACATTATAGTTGAATTAATGAATGAAGTATGAAACATTCATGCATCCATTGGGGAAAAAATGTTTTAAAATAAATGAATTTGTTCTTGGGAAAAATATTTTTTTAAAAGGAGTTTGCGAAAACCGGACGCCTAGGAGGCGCCTAGTGGTCCGTGTTGTTAATGTAGTCTAGAGGGGAGTATGGTTGAACTAATTAGGCCGAATACGACACCTTGGAGATGCCTTGTCGTCATAGATAGTTAGTCAACCCTCCATTCATGACTCTAACGGTTTGATAGTTGAAACGGAATTGTTTCGGAATTGGGGAGCGACATATGCATAACATTGCACTTTATGGCATTTTAATAAATCTGTGATTCGTTGACATTTGCTACATATTTGTTGTTGTGGTTGAGAATATGTATTCCTCATGGTATGACCCCATTTCTTTTTACCTTTTCCTTATGTGGATTCGCGGGGTCATAAGAAGTGTGTTTTAGACACTTCCTACTGAGTTTATGCTCACCCCATTATTTTTAACATTTTTTTCAGAACACGGAAAAGAGGTGGCGGACAACGTTCCACCACAGGTTTAGACGAGCTTAGAGACCCATTTTATTTTGCTATCTTTTGTATTAGAACCTTAATATTTTGTAAATGTACACTTAACCATTTTGTGAAACTTTAGTTTAATTGGTACAATATTGTAAGCTATGGGCTTTTAAATTCTAACTACATTTTATGGACTGTAACTTGATGTAACTAAGGTGTACTCCTTGTTTGGATGAGATGGAAGAATGAGATTTTTGATATGTATGTAATCATATTGGGAATGTGATATAATAATTATATTGTGCGTTGGGACAGGATAGGTTATCTTTAAGGCCCAGTGAAGCCATTGCATCATTTTTTTGTAGTTCAACAGGTCGTAGAGGGACTTTTTCTGCGGAGATCATGCCAAAATTTTAGCTATTTATTATTATTCTTTTGGTATATTTTGAGTCGTTACAAATCTAGTATCAGAGCGATGGTTCGAATACCATTAGGACGACGGGTAGAGGCCTACCTAGGATTGCATGGGGAGTTGAGTTATTTGTTTACTTGCTTAATTGCTTACGTGATTACATGCTTATATGCTTATGTGTTAAGGTGTTTAATTATTTGAAAGGCAGGCTTAATTGTTTAACTACTTATATGATTACGTGTTAAGTGTTTAATGTTGTTGTATATTATTAGCATGATCATGTTTATCATTAGTTGGGTATTCTGGGAGTATAGAAGGTGTTTATGTGTTTCCATTCTTGTCAAATCATTCGTGTGAGGACTCCGTTCTCGTGTGTATTTTAGTGTCATCGTTATTGATCCGTTTCCTTCTTCTTATAGCGTCATGCCACCACGAAGGGATCCCGGGAAAAGTTCTAGCTCCAATCCCATGGAAAGGGATCAGGAGCAAATTGAGGAAGATAGCATGATTTGGTCCCATCAAGAGGGGGACAAGCGAGGGGGACCGTTGATTCACCTTTTCAGATAAATGAGGAACAATTGCAGTTGGCCGTTCAGGCAGTTCTTTTCAAAGCATTTTGACGGGCAGGTGCGTCATCGTCACAGTTTGTGCCACCACCGGTACCACTACCACCTCCACCTCCAAAGACAAATGAGTTGAATGATACTCTTTATCACATTGCAAAGTTTGTGAAATTAATGCCAACTGTGTTTGAGGGCAGCCCAGATCCGCTTATTACATATAGTTTCATGGATAGGGTAGAGAAGCATATTAATGCCATGAATTTGGCAACGGACAAGTTGAAGATCACATTAGCGACTTACAATTTTATTGGTGATGCTGAGATATGGTGGAAGACCATTTCACACACGCACGATTTGGATACTATGTTATATGATACTTTTAAGAAATTATACTATGAAAAGTACTTTCCTGCGCCTAAGCGGAGGGAACTAAAGAAAGAGTTGGATGAGTTGAAGCAAGGAATCATGACAGTTACAGAGTATGAAAACAAGTTTACATTGCTTTTGAGGTTTGCACCGGGGATTACTAATAATGAAGAAAGAAAGATAGAGAATTTATTGATGGCCTTGATCTTACTATCAGGCCAATTGTAGCTGCCTCAGAATCGACAGAATATGCAAAAGAAGTGCGAAAGACCTTAGTGGTTGAGGCTGAGATCAAAGACAGCAAGGCTATCCGGGAGTCTTATAAGCACAACAGGGGTATGAGTGCTTTCTCCAAGGGACAATCAAGTAAGAAACAGAAACATGAGCAGTCAGGTTTAAGGGGACAGCAGTCAGTCAGATCCGCACTCATAGCTTCAGTGTCTATTGGGTCTTCTAGACCGAATGTTACTTGTTCAGATGCGGGCAGCAGGGACATTACAAGTCCCAATGCACTCAGGCTCAGATAGCTCAAGTAATTTGTTTCAAGTGTGGGCAATCAGGGCATTACAAGTCCCAGTGTACTCAGATTCAGGTGGCATCTGGTGGATGTTACGGGTATGGCCAGCAGGGCCATAGGGTGAAAGATTGTCCACAGCGAGGCAGTGGTTTGGGTAGAGGTGGAGGTTCACAGTAGAGGCAGATGCAGTCTGTCACAGTTCAGTCAGGGTTTCGACCGCCACCACCACCTCAGCCATCTCAGCCAGCCGTGTCAGTCTAGAGTTCTCGACCGGGTAGAGGAGCTTCTTCGAGTCTACCTACTCAGCAGTCTGGCTATCAGGCAGGTAGTTCTCAGGGGCAGAGGACCCATGGTTGCGTGTTTGCACTCACTCTAGCTGAGTCACCATCTAGTCCTTCAGTTGTCAGGGGTATGTTTCTTGTGTCCCGTTCTTGGGCTCCTGTATTGTTTGATTCTGGTGCTTCCTATTCATTCATTGCTTCATCATTTGCACGGGCATTGGGATTGGATGTCAGTCAGTTAGACAGACCACTTTGTGTTGACACGCCTATTGGGGATTCAGTCACTCTTGGTAGAGTTTGTAAGAGTTGTTCCATCACGATTGTCGGATGTGTTCTTGAGTTCGATCTCATCCTTCTTGAGATGACATGATTTGACGTCATTCTTAGGATGGACTGGTTGTCGTCCTTCAAAGTTGTTATTGATTGTTTTAGGGACAGAGTTTCAATGTGTACCCCGGATGGGGATTGTTTCTGTTTTGTGGGAGATCAGTGTGATCCTCTCACTCATTCATTCTATGCTATTAGGGGTCGGGATCGACAGATGTTCTTCTTGGTTTGCCTTTTTATCGATGATGATATGGAGTTTTGTAGGGTTGATTATCCGGTGGTTGTACGCGACTTTCTAGATGTATTTTTGGAGGACTTGACTGAGTTGCTTCCACACCGAGATGATAATTTTAGTTCCAGGTTTACAATAACGCGTATTAAATTTGTAGCAGTTTTGAGCCTTTATAATTAAGTTAAACTGCTGTAACAAACCACTAGGATGCATCTGGGTATTCTTTAAACTCTTAGGAATAGTTTTCATGAGAGCAGAAGGGCTAGAAAACAGCCGAAAACGTTACAGACGAAGCAAAAAGGAGCAGCTCTCAGAGAGGGGAAGAGAGAGCTGGCTCCAGAAGTGGGGAGCCGGCTCCCCTCTTTACAGAGCCGGCTCCAAGGTTTAGGGATCCAGCTCTGGGATGCTTGGAGCCTGCTCCACTTTTTTTTAGAGCAGACTCTATGATGGTTTTCACGTACAGGGGCATTTGGATGGGTTCTGGAGTGGTTTTTAGGCTCTGTTTGGACTTGTGGGTTCCCGGACTGTGTTGGAATGTTAATAAGGGTTGTAAATATTAACTCAGAGTGTATTAAAGCCCCTGGATGCATAGTCTTTAATAGTATGCTAATAGTTGAAACTGTATCGTCAATTAAATAAGTTTGCATACAGTTAACGGGTAGGAAGGATAAAATTGTTAAATGTTATCTTAATAATTTAACGGACTGTAGTGTAGACTCTAAACGTTATAATGTGTTGTTTTTAGAGCCCAATATGTATAATTAATGTCCTTGTGCTCATGGATTCAACCGTAGAAAAGTATACAACGGTGTAGGTTGCTAACGGATGAAAGGGGTTTAATTGCCTAATTTGATTTTAGCAATTTAACAACATATATATAAATATGAATCTTATTTTGGTGGCATGCTAGGGTCATTTATTTATCAAGTTTGATCTATGCATACCTTGGATGTTGATTGTGGAATTACTAAATTCTTTTCTGAAATGCACGGATTCAAACTTGGAATTTTAATTGCTGTACTATTAAGCATTACACTGCAATTATTTGGATTAGGGTTTGGACTTAAATTGCTGAACTAGTACTTAGGTTCTGTCAATCTAATTGGATGTTGGCTTGGAGTTAACTGAAGAATTAATTATATATTTTCTGTCAATTACTTGAATGGATGCTAGATTTTAACTTGATGAATTATTAAACTTTGTCTCGTTAAGTTACATGAATGGATTCTGGATTTGTAGTTGATGAACTGTTTAAATTCTGCATTTATCAACTATTTGGATTATGTGGACCTTGTTTGATGTACTGTATAAAATGTTGCATCGTTTGCATGTATGCACCGGTATAGGACGGTGGTATACGAAGGGACGGATTAGATCAAAACGCTAATTCCAACCCATTCATACACACGGAATGGATTAACTAAAACAGTTAAGTCCTACATGGTTTCATGTCCTGTCAACTAAAACAGTTGAACGACATATTGGATGGTTGTTTATATTTTTTGTTAATCGGAAGGATAGGGATTTAATTAAAACATTTAAATCATAATTTTATGTCATGTCATGGCAACGAACTGTTGAGTGGCAATACATTGGTTTGGATGGGAATTTATATATATAATTTATGGTACCGCGATCTGAGCTTGAGTCTCATAGTCGACGGTTAAGGTGTGTATATGTAGTAGGATATATATATATATATATATATATATATATATATATATATATATATATTTACGGACTATATAAATATGGTTGAGACATCTAGGATGTATCTACGTATCGGGTCTCTATTTAGATTGTAGTTAGGATAGAACTTGTTCGTGGGCCTGACCTACTCTTATTTTTTAGGTAACGGACGGTTCCAGGTCTTAGAGCTTGTTCGTGCTGAGCAGAGACGGCTTTTCATTCTTCCGATGACATAGGAGTTTCCTCGAGATTTAGCATTAGAGTTTTTTAATTGTTGATTTCTGTATTGGAGTTTATTAGGGGTCCACTAGATGGATTCCCGAGTTGTATTAGAAATGGAGAATTTGGATGTATCGGAATAATACTTTATTTATAAAATTTTATTCTGAGGTTTTCAGTTTTGGATTATCATTCTAGTTTCTTTTAGCAGTTTTATTTATTATTGTTTATCTTATCTGTATTCTGTGTTTGTTTATGGCTAATTGGTTTGATATCCTCGGGTAATCGGGTATGGGCCTAGCCAACCCGCATCCGGAGATCCGGGGGTATCACACTCCACCCATTTGGTAAAGTAATCTGTTTGTAAGCAAAACGTACTTATTCTGTGATCTGGCGGTCGGTAGGGGGCCAACCACATCCATCCCCCATTGCGTGAAAGGCCATGGTTTGGCCATTACGTACAAATCTTCAGGTGGTTGCTGGATCAGTGGTCCGAACCTTTGGCACTTATCGCATCTTCTCGAGAACTCCTCCGCGTCTCGCGACATGTTCGGCCAAAAATACCCCTGCGTCATCGCTTTGTGTGCTAGAGACCTCCCCCCTGAATGATTACCACACATGTCTTCGTGAATAGTTCGCAATATCTACAGAGCTTTTGTGGGGGTAACACATTTCAAGTAAGGCCCTAAGTAAGACCTCATGTATAACTGGTTATGTACTATGGCATACTTCGCAGCATTCGATCTGACCTTCCTTGTTTCATCCCTCTGATCGGGTAAAACACCATCTTGTATATAAGTTATAATTGGATCTATCCAGCTCGGCTCATATGGTATAACATTCACTTGCCAAGGATCCGAGCTTAATGGTTATTCAAGGATAGATGGCTAGCACAACGCACCAACCAGAATCACCATTACCAGTGTTTCCCCAAAGCTCGAGGCACTGCATGCCAACCGATCGGCGTCCTCGTTACGCTCCCTCGGCAATTAGATGAACTTGATCTGATCAAAACTTTCTGTCTCGCGCATAACGGCTGAACGGTATACCCCCATTGTTTAATCCTTGGTTCCATACTCCACAATCAGTTGCCGGATGATCAGCTGTGAATCGCGAAAAGCGACTAAGCTTTTGACCTTCAGCTTCTTGGCCAACTTCAACCCAGCCAGTAGTACCTCATATTCTGCTTCATTATTGGTCGCCCTGAACTCAACTCTGATCGCCTAGCTTAGCGTGGTGCCTTCTGGTGTCTGTAACTTGAACCCAATTCCTACCCCCATCTTATTAGAAGAACCATCAATGAAAAGCTTCCATGAAGAGTCTTCAGGATTTGTCGCTAGCTCTACTGCATCACACTCCAGTAGGAAATCAGTCGCTGCTTACCCTTTAATGGCTGTTCGGGGTTCATACGTTATGTCAAAGGAGCTTAGCTCTATTACCCACTTTGTCATTCGTCCGGACAAATCTGGTTTATGCAGGATCACCCTTATGGGAAATATGGTCAGAACGACTATAGGATAGGATTCGAAGTAATGTCTGAGTTTCCTTTTTGCATTTACCAAGGACAAGATTATTCATCCGGCCTTCGAATACCTTCTTTCTGGTTCGGTTAGTGTTTTGCTGACATAGAAAACTGGGAACTACTTACCCTCTTCACATCGTATCAGAACGCCGCTAGTTGCAATGTTGGAAACTCCAAGGTACAAGAAAAGTTTCTCACCTAGTTTTGGGGCAATCAGGACTAGTAGGTTTCGTATGTACTCTTTCAACCTGGTCAGTGCTTGCCTCTACTCATCCCCTTAGGATTACTTTCTGTGACCTCTTATTGTATCAAAGAATGGCTTGCATCAGTCTAACAACTTAGAGATGAATCGACTCAATACCGCTATGCGTCCGGTGAGAGCTTGTACTTCCTTGACAGTACTTGGTTCTGCATTTCTTAGTAGAGTTTCTGCTTGGGTTGGCTAACTTCAATCCCTCTATTGTTAACTACATGGCCAAGAAATTGCCCAGATCCTACACCAAACGAGCACTTGGTTGGGTTCAACCTCGTTCCATATTTTCTTAGTACTCTGAACACCTCTTGCAAATGATGCAAATGGTGGTCCTTCTGTTTGCTCTTTACTACCATGTCCTCGATGTAAGCCTCTACAGTCTTGCCCATTTGATTCTTGAAAATTCTGCTAACCAACCTCTGGTACATAGCTCCGGTATTCTTCAATCCGAACGGTATGACCTTATAACAATAGATCCTTCGTTCAATAACAAAAGAGGTCTTTTCCTCATCGTTCGGATCCATTGGGATTTGATTATTGCCTAAATAGGCATCTAGAAAGGTTAGTCGTTCATATCCAATTGTAGCATCTACCATCTGATCAATCTTTAGAAGTGGAAAGCTATCCTTTGGGCAAACTTTATTCAGATTGGTG